CATTTTAGCCCGAACTCTTTTCAAGCTGGACGCGCCGCCTATGGCGGGCCAAGAGAGAAACTAAGAGGACTTAAACTACAAGGATAAAGCTTAAAGAGAATAAATATTTTGATTTGTAAATATATCATACAAGACATTTTTAAAGGCCTTTAAATGGGTTGTGACGGCTGTTCAGCAGTTCGCATTGCATTTTCGACAAAATAGCCCAAACTCTTGTAAAACCTGGAAGTGCCGCTTATAGCGGGCCAAGATAGAGAATTGGAGGAATTAAAATACAAGGATAAAGCTTTACGATGATGTACATTATGATTTGTGAGTATAAATGGCAGACCTATTCATAGGCCATTGAAGTTGACCTTTATTTTACCTCCGCGAAAGAGACGCGAAGTACTTAATTTCAACGGGTTACTATTCAAACTTAAACATAACAAAATAACAAGAAAATAATATTTTCTAAGAGATAAAAGAACCATCTGTTAATAAACAAAATTTAAAAGCGGAATCGTATCGCGTTGTAGCGTACGAAACTGCCAAAGTTGCATAATTTTTCATTGCCTTACGGGGAGGACAACGGCCAGTTTAGGCGTATTTCGAACTTTTCGATTTTTCGGAGAAAAAAAAAGCGCGATAGAATTCGAACTTTTTGATATAATGTTCGAAAAAGGGTCATTAAAAGGGTCCTTTAGAAAAAATAAAATGAATTACGAAATTTTCCAACTGTCTGCCGATTCTCGATATTTAGGGTCAGTGGCTCTTAATGTACTCTAATGTAGAAATAATTATTTCTAAATAGTTCAAAATAAATAACGACCAAAGACTAAAGACTATCAAGAATTTATACTAGAAATGTTCTGTGAAGAGAAGGTAGCCCCATGTTTTGAGAGACAAAACATTTCTGTAGATTGAACTAATCAAGTAAAAAGTATGAAAACATAGCAATGAAAATAACCATATCCAAACGATGCAGTTCACTCTTTTCGCAGTAGATTTATGAAACCTGCGAGTTTCTTTGCAGCACATTTATCAAGTTCGACGAGTTCTCACGTGACAAAATCAGTTACCTCGTAAGACTTCTTGTAAACCTGAATATCGCAGACTCAACTTCACTGCCTAAGTTCTGGGGGTAAAACCACGCATCTTCGGCCAAAGTGCGACTTTTTTCAATGATTAACAAATAAACCCTGCGGTAGAACTGAAGAGCAAATGATGGAAGCTTGCTTAAACATTTTTAAAACTTTCTAGGCAAACGCTTGTTCAGATTTCTCTTAAAAACAATCCGTAAGTTGGTCAATTTCTTTCGTACCTTAACACCATGAATGAATTCAACAGTCCAAACGAATTAATTTGAGAATATATACAGACAGTATGAAATGATGTTTGAAAGCATATCTGGCTTTAGACAATAGTTTTCTGTTCATTACACTCAATCCTTTTGCAATATCTACAAAAACTGTAAGATATTTACTAGGTCTCGCGTTTGGACTCGATTTTTGGATGGAAAGCACGATATTTTTCTCGAAATCGTGAAAAAACTGTCACTAACAACCCGCTCGACGGCTAAGAAACATGGCGGCTTCGCGAGGTATGTACTTCAAAAAATATACTTTTTTCTGTTGTTTTTTTTAGTTATTGGACTTTTAAAGTCTATGAAAATAAAATATTAGATCCAAAATAGCAATCGAGTGAAATTCTACGGCATTTTACGCCCGATTTCTTACGATATTATGAAAGTAATTATACGTCTTAGATTGAGACTAAACGCATGCTAAAATTCACTGTAGATGTCGAAACTATCGAAGAGCCATCAGATCCGAAGAAGAAATCTTCGTACCATTGTTGTATTCCCTTGTGTAACAGGGATTCTAGATATCATCCGGAATTAAAGTTCCACCGCTTACCTGGCCGGGCAAAGGATGAACAACTGCCCATGGCTAGGTTGCAGTCCAGACAGAAAAGTTTATGATCTTCATGCAGTAAATAATGGTCAGAATCCATTTGGCTTATTAGAAATAAAAGTTGTCAAAGAAGGTGAAACTTCAGTTGACAACGTCTGATATCTAACTAAGGACCAGAACACTAACCAGTACAAACTGAAGACAACAGACATTCCTCACTACCAGATTCAGTGCCAGCTTGGACTCGCAGGATTGGAATGGTGTAATGTTTTTAGTTACATTGATGACAATTTGTTTTTTTGCTCTAGAATTAATTTTGATCCAGTGTTCTCCCAGGAAGCAAAGGACAAAGTTGATAGTTTTTACTTCAATTACTTTTTACATTAAGACTGTGTTCACAATGATGTATGGCAGAGGGAATAGGGCAGTTTTAATTTTAATTGACAACAAATTAGCTGATCATCATTTATCATCTTCAAAGATTAAAACCCCTACACCAAGAAAGGCTAAAAACTTCACAGCTCCCAATTTTAATATAAAAATGTTCCTGTTTCCCTATGGATTTTTTTACATATTTTTGATCGCACTGATTTTTACTGCAGCCTTCCGTCATACATGATGAATATCGACTTTGTCGGCCATGACTGAGTCCCTGGGCTCTAACAAATCTAGAATTCCACTGCACCTTGTGACTCCCTTATCACTTATCCCTCCAGTGTAGAGGCTAGACACAAAACTAATAGCTCCATAAGGGGTGATACCTATTAAAACTTTTAGTGTAGTATTACTTTTATAAGTAGAATAAAGCTGTGGCCGAAGCAGCAGTGAGGTAGGTGTTTGCACAAAAATCTAAGTACAATCTAATATAACACGCATGCTTGCATAAAGCCTTTTGAAACCTTCTGGCATAGAGCTATCGACATCTTCCCTTGATGGCCAGATCACTTGACTCCCAAGAAAAAAATACGAAAAATTAGTCCATGTGATTACTTTTCTGCAAACTGATGATCGGTATATCTGAAACCTATGTGCTAAGTCCTGCTCCAATAAACCAAGCTTGAGTTGCACAAAAAACATAAACAACTCATCTACAAGAAGCATTTTTCTTGAACCTGGTCTACTAACTCTTTCGCCGGAAGCATAACAATATGTCATTTGTGCAGCAAAAGGCTGCTGCAAATCAAAAAAAAAAAAAAAA